CGCGGGGGCACAGAAGCACCATCTTTGTTTGAATGGGGGCTCCCGGACTCCTCCATTTCCAAATTATTAATAAAGCCCACGGGCAGTGGCACCGGTCAACACGGTTGCCAGGCTTTCCCCTGCGGCCTGGTGGAAGGTGACCTGAGGCTGGAGAAAGGATGGTCCCAGCACTGTCCAGCCCTCCGTGGGAGATGGGAGTGCCTTTCCAGCGTTGGCCGAAGTTGCAGCCCATTCCCGGGCCAGAAACCCGCTCTCCAGCGACCCCAGGCATCCCCCCTGGACCCTGGGGAACCAGGCCAGGGCCTGACTCTGAAATTGCATGGCATTGCAACAGCCCGCGTTTTAATTCTTCAGGGACCCATTATGCAACATGGCATCAGCCGCTGACATGGTTACAGGGTGGGGAACTCCCAGGTGGAACCAGGGCAGGATCCCTTCTCGGCGCCCCCCTGCGTCGCGGGAGAGCAACTTCCTTACTGGTCGCTCGCTCCAAGGGTCTAGGGTTTACAGTTTTAGCGCCAAACGCGCCACAGGAAATAATGCAAAATAAAAGGGGGAGGGAGGATGGAAGGCAGCGGGGTGGCCGAGCTCTGCGGGCTCCTGCCGCTCCTCCCCTCCTCGCTCGCCCTTCCCCCTTCTCCCCGAAACAGAGAACCACAGCCACCGGCGGAGTATCCAGCTGCAGCAGCTGCAGCGTGACAAGCATCTGTGCACACGAGGATGAGCCCCTCGTCAGAAGCCACCCCTCAACCATCAGGCAGCGCCCATCTCACGCCCTTTGGGCCAAGCTTCCCCTGCCCTGAGGATGGGAGCCAGACCCACCAAGTAGCCTAGCGGGAGGTGTGAAGGGCAAGAAGCGCCAGACAGAATCTGCCCCCAGCCAATCCCAAACTCCCTGGGGGTGAGGGTGGTGGCTTAAGGCCTCGTCAACTTTTCTCCAGTCCCCAACAGGTTAAGTTCAGTTCCGTGACGTCCGGCGGTTTCACAATGCCAGCTCCCTCGGAGCTGCCCCGAGAGTTGCCCGTGCCAAGTGGTCAGTGGCTGCAGGAAAGCAACACCTAGGCTTGGAGGTGGGGCTCCAAAGTAGCGACGGGAGGGGACCCCGCAGGGAACCAGGCGCAGTCCCGACTTCTCCGCGCAGCTGTGGGGCCACTCACACGCACTCTTCCCGCAGTTCCCCCCAAACACAAGCCTCTCCTACTCCGGCCCTGCCCCGCCCCCACACCCAGGCTGCAGCAACCGCCAAGGACGTTGGTTAGAGGAGCCGAGGCCTCAGCCGTGCCCGTTCAGGCCCGTCGGGGGGAGGGGACTCCCGCGGGCCCCCTCCCGGCCCTCTCCCCCTTTCCTCTTGCAGCGTTGGCCCACTCTCCCATTCCCATATACGGTCACGGCTGCGGGTGGCGGCTGCTTGGGGGACGCTCACCTGTTCTGGAAGGCGATCAGCAGCCGGGGATCCAGGATGTTCTCCTCGGGTTCCCACGTGTTATATCTTGCAAGGGAAAAGGGAGGGGGACACGGCGTAAAAAAAAACCGAGCCAGCTTTGCGGCCTCCAGGTGGGGAATGACATAAGGCCCTACTCTGTCTTCATGAACCGAAAGCTATTTAGCTGTGGATGTTGGGGGGGCGGTGAGGGTAAATTTCTGCAGGCCTGACACAGTCCCTGATACACCCTCCCCAAGTCAAAATAAACACACAAGAGCAGGAAGAAAGGGGAGGGGTAAGGAAAATGAAACTAGCAGTTTATTTTGCAGTTGTCAAGAATTTTAAGCATGTTACTGCGACATGTTCCAAAGCCACTTTGCTCACCAGGAACCCTGCGTGCAAAGCAGCCTAAATGCAAAGTCTCAGTCCCCTCCTCCTCTCCCCAGCCCCGAGTCTCCGCGAGGGCTTCAGCCATTCTCCATTTGACCCCTAATCCGATAACCGTCAGCCAAGCTGCCCCCCCACCACCCCCTCCGCGCCCTGGAGCCCGCTGTCACGGGCAAGCACCCCCAAATACTCAGCAACACAAAAATAATGCCTCTCTCTCTCTGTGTGAGTGTGTGTGTGCGTGTGCCTGCGCGTCTGTCTCCATCCGGTGCCTTCGCATTTCAAATTAAAGAAAAAAAATCCCCCACCAAAAGCGCCGCAGTGACAGTTCCCAACATTTTCAGCCTTTTTTCTTCCTCTCCCTGCACCGCTAGGAGGGAAGAGGCACACAATTGCATTTTCGTCGCTTTCTAAGTTTTTTTTTTTGGTTTTGCAATATGGAGCCGTTCGGTGGAGGGAAAGGGGAAAGGAGCCATTTTCTGCTGCACATCAGTCAGTGCCTGCGCCCTCCCTCCCTCCGCCGGCCTCCCCGGCTCGGCCCCGCGTCTCTCCAGCTCCTCCGGCTCCTTTTAGTGCATAAATTAGTGATGGCATTTCCCGGAGAGCGGAGCACAACACAGGGCGCCGGGCTCGGGCTCGGCGGCTCGGCTTCCCCAGTGCCTGCCACCGACTTCCCCACCCCCTCCTCCCTCCACCCCACCTCCACCCCGCCTCCCGTCCGCTCCCCCCACCACCCCACCAGCCCGGCGG